CGAGACACTCTCTTCGGGGGCCCCCCCCCCCCCCCCCCCCCCCACCCCCCCCAAAAAAAAAAAAAAAAAAAAAAGAATGTGTCTTCTAGTTTCCAAACTTGGGGGACTAGGGGACTACCTTCAGCACCCGCCACGCCGACACGCTTGGTTTACACAAACTCTTCACAAAGTTCCCAAACCAGAAGCCACTTCTTGATTGACAACTTGGGGGACTACTGTTTACACCATAATTAACCAAGCGTGACTAAAACACCAAGGTAGACGTGCCTTCCTCCCTGCCAAAGGGAGATGCTTTTCCGAAGGGACAACCACCTGCCGAAGCTCCAAGCTGCCAAACCTTAGACACAGGACACACTGTCATCATCACAGCAACTTGCACAAAGTCCCACATCGGAACTTTGTGCAAACCTCCTACTTTTACTTCCCTATAAATAGGAACAGTAACCAAGAAAAAAGGTAACTTCTCTCTCTCACTATTACTGTTACTTTGCAAAAGTCACTACCCCTAACTGACTCAGGCATCGGAGAGCCTTCGGCCGGCACCACATCGGTGTCCGAAGCTTAACGATTGCTTTTCCTATCTTTGTCTTCTGCAGGCTAGCCCTCTACCGAAGGCCCAGGCCCTTCTCTGGCTAAGGACAACCCCCTATCTCTAAGTTGACCCTCTCCGAAAAAGAGCATCAACAACCTTCATTGCTCTTGTGGTTTCTTCCTTTCCTCAACCTATCAAGCTCTCCATGGAGCACACACACTTGTGCTTTGCTTTCAGATGAGACAGCCTTCTTCTGTATATTGCAGTAATCGGCTACACTTTCTTATTGAAACTCATTCAATTTATACATGTGAGTTACGAAAAACCTATAATGAACCCAAGAACTCCTCTCAAACAAGAGAAATAAATAAATAAAGGTATATAAATGGATTTATACCAAGGGGTGATCTATGCATAGTCATTCCAGGTAGGGAATCCCTAAGTAAAGATGCCGAAGTCCAAGGTGTCGAAATAACACGGGATAGCCCACAATCTTTTTAACAACCTGGTCCGGTGGATTTTCAGTAAAAAGAATATAACCTAGCCAGCTTATCTAATCTCCCAGACTTTATCGAGCCAGTTCGAGAAAGTGTTCGCAACGCATACCGAAAGGGTACCTATGAAGCCAACTATTAATGACTAGTTCGAACACCAGGAGCGGTCTGGTATGTCTTTGAAGCATGATTAAAAGCCCATAACAAGTCAAGAAGCTCAGTGTGTGTAAAAGGAGAAAAAAATATATATATAAATAATATTGTATATGAAAAGAATAGAAAGCAAGATCACTCCTAATACTGGATCAATGAGAGAGAGAGAGTGAGAGAGAGAGTAAATGCTGATAAGTGACTCTCTATTCAAAAGTTTAAACCCCCAAGAAATAATTGGCTCAGTATTATTTATCAAGAAAGTTAGATTCATGATTGACTAATAAGCAGTAGTATCCACTTTGTCTTCTCATCATCAGGAAGATATTTGAGTAGAAAGAACTCTTCTGGATTAGTATTCAATAATATGTGTACGGCCTTCAAAACTTGCAATCTACTGATGTTCGGTATCTTTGAGACCACTGCAAGTACATCCTCCCCTCTGAGTTGCGGATTCATTTGACTTGCTGAAAACTCCTTTCGTGAGTCTGCCGCCTCACCAATTGCTTGTGCCAATGGATCTTTTTTCGCTTTCTTATTTGGATGCAAGCCAGAAGTTGAAGTTGATGGATGTGTCGAAGTATGCGAGCTGGGAATGAAATTCTCATCATTTTCTTGTTTAACCTCCATATTTTCTTCAGCACAATAACAGAGAGAAAGTAAAGCATAAAAAACATCCACTAAAGCAGCAAAGAAGTGCATTAACTGCTGACTATTACAACGACAAGGACACAAGATGTGTTGGACTTCATAATCACATGTAAAAGCAGTTTCATTTTTATTATACAGAAGATGTGGGAATATTGTGAATATTTAATTTTGTTAAATTTTAGATAGAGAGAAAAGCATTGAATCACTCCGGAAAATATCAAATTCAAAGGCATCTCCCTATTGAAAATAGGAAAATTCATCACTCAAACTGTTGCAGTCACACTTAAAAATAAATGTAACCACCCCATATGATCAGAAACAGAGCTTCTCTTTTATACTAAATCACTAACCACAGAAGCATTCGGTGCTAGTTGCTAACTTCAAGTTTATTACTTACCTTCCGCCAGTAAAAACCCCGAAAATTTTCTTACCAGCTGCACATGAAAAGCAATTCAAGGGACAATTCTTTTACAGTATTAAGCTGAATCAGTTCCTGCAGTCAACTCAGAGATCATTTGGATAAAAAATATACTTAAGCCTAGAACTAAGAAAATTCTTTTGAAGCTTATGGTGCTCGCTACATGGTCTTTATTTAACTTGTATCTTTGAAAATATATAACATTAAATAGAATTCTATTTATCATCCAGAACAAGGCAAACGTAAAAAGATTCCTCCAAGATCTCAAAACAAAAATCACATTTCAGATCACCATCTTGTAGTGATAAGTGGAAGTGGAAAATCATAAGACAGAGGAACAGAAACCAATGAGAGGATATAAAAGAAGAACAACTGAATAAACAAATGGAAACAAAAACCTAACATTTCATAGATAAATAATGTATTAGAAATGAAAGTTGAAAAGGACCAAAAACACATATAAACTAAAGCAAGCTCAAAATTAGACTGACCTGTACCTGGCTCTTTCAATGGGATGCCCAAATGTACGCAACCGGTGAGCTTAACGACCTCATTGGCAAGTCGGGCCATGCGCTTTCTCAGCTCTATAGAAAACTTCTCAAGGCATTTCGTCTGGGCCAGAGGAGGCTGATTAAGCTGTGGAGGACTTAGGCTCATCAGAAGCAGGTGCAGGAGGAGGAGTAAATGCAACAACAGATTCTTCACTTGTTTCATCTGTCTCATCATTATGAAACATCATCTTGTTGATAGGTGGCATAAGTTGTTTAAGCTGATCCGTAGGATCAATTTCCACCTTAGACGCCATGGCAAACCTAGTGATCAACGAGCCAAAAGGCAGGGAATGAGTTTCGTAGTAGTCGTCTAGGGTTGCAGCCAGGCAAATGGCTTGGAAAATGTGGACGGGCAGATCAATGGACACATTATTATTCCCAACGGCATAAAGGAGGCTTGCTCTGTCAAAATCAATTAAGCTACTGTCAAGGAGACGTTCTTCAGGGTCGATATCAGCACTCACTATTGTGTTAAGTATTCTGTAAAACTTAGTCAGATTGCGATGGCTTATTAAAATCTCAGATTGATTGCAATAGCAGAAAGCTGGCTGTGATCTTCATTCGCATTCATTAACTTTTCGAGGGCAAAAACTACAAGTAGAAACAGAGGCTTAGCTATGATATGCTCATTGCTTAACTACAATCTATTGGTAAAGAATGATTAATCCAGTACCCAAGTAACATTATTAACAGAGTCATGAGTTCAGGCACTAATAATATAAAAAATTAACAATAATATGATCTAAAATAGGGTATTATCCGTTACCAAGACAGACAAGCAAAACCAGCTGCTGAGGAAGCCAATCCAGCAGCAGTTGGAAAATTGTTGTATGAAGCAATATGTACATTCAACTTTTCCAAATCCTTCTTAGTAATCTTGATTCCCTTTTCCTTATCATGAACATTGGTAGCTCGATTACAAATTTCCCTTAAACAGCTTTGGAATCTGCCTCCAGAAAGAGAAATTTCCTACACTAACCAGAAAAAACAAAAAGAGCCCTGAATCAGTGAAATCCCAAAACGATCATGGTATTTGGAAAAGCAAATATTAAACCTCTGAGAATTCTGTGGCAAAATTAACAGTGCCAATTTTTAAGTTTTAGTTCCAACCTATAACCCAAATCGTACAAATTTATGATTTTTCAAACTCAAGACCCACAAATTTATGATCAAATTGGATGATTCGGTCGAGTTGACCCGAAATTGTGCCCACCCCTAATAAGAGAGATAATGTAGGCCGTGCAGTTCATAAAATGAAAAATATAAATAATTTTATACAAACTTTAGCATCAAAAAGTAAGTTTTTGGCTTATGTGTGGCTTTCTTCATTTTCATTTTGTTGCTTTTTTTCGTTTTGTTGTTTCTCAACGGGACTTGCCTTTCTCGTTTTTAACATTTTGTGTTAGCTTGTTATATTTCCAGTAATATAAGGAACATGAGACGCAATCTACCAAAGTATCAAATGAAAAACACTCAAGGTACTTCATCAATAAATAAATAGAAAAGTATCACACACTCGAAAAAAGATTGGGGCTCTTGGAACTTTTTTGATTTTGTTTTCTCTGACTTCATCTCTTTCGTTACATGATAAATCATTTAAATTAATTAAATTTTTTTTTTTTTTTACACAAGCAATATTGGAAGAGGTGGGAATTGGAAGAGGTGGGAATCAAATCTAAGACCTTGGCTGCAAAATTCAGAGTTTCACTTTAGTCCATACAATTCTTGCCATTTACGTTTTGTAATTCAATAGTTATTGTAATTTGAGGGTAAAGACTTAATCTCGTCACATTTTACCATTAAGAATGGACACTTACTATATTTGGAATGGTAATGTCTCGATATTTTGAACCATACAAACAACGAAACGGGATAGAAATGTCTTGATATATATTTGGGATGATAATGTCTCGATATATTTGGAATCTACACTCAGTGTTGATAAGGTGAGGCAGATCAACGAAATCAGCTCCAATAAAAATAGACACCAATATATCAAAACTGTGGTCACTCTCTCACCCTACAAATTTAGAAATGGGCTAACATCAAAAGACCACCTCAAGGTTTGGGGCCATTCTCAATATGGGCAATCGAGGACCCACCCACTAACCAACCAGTTCCTAAAAAAATTTATATAAAATGATAAAATAACATAAAATAAAAAAATAAAATAAAATACCTTAAAAAATCCCAGCCCCTCCCCAGCCCAACAAACCCAGCACCCCTTGTTTACCCCCCTCTCACCCCACACCAACCCCATCCCTCTCTCTCTCTCTCTCTCTCTGGCGTCAGCTCGTCGGTGATACACCAAAACCGAATTCCCGTAAGAAAAAAGAAAAAGAACGAAGATTTTTTTAGAGTAACAAAGCAACACACAATTCAAATTTCATAATCGAAATAAATAAAAAAATAAAGGAAGGAAACTTTTTTAGAGTAACAAAGCAAACATCAATGGAAAATCAAAGCAGCACGATTAGCCTATGACTGGGATGAAGCGACTACAGAACTAGAAAAATAGAGAAGCTTGATTTCAACTTACGTCAGCTCGTGGTCTGAATGTGTTCGTGACGGCGGCGCCCCCGCCCATTCCCCACCAGAGCACTCTCCCTCTCTTCGTCGCCTCCTCTCTCTCCGTCCCACTCTCCTCCCAGCTCCCCATCCCTATCAATATATACAAATTGTGCTTGGAGGGAGGCTTTGGGGGAGAGTACAAGTGAGAGAGTTATGCTTGGAGGCTCGTTTTCTCGCAGAACGACTAGCAGCCTCGAGGAGCACAGAGCCCAATTGGAGAGAGCGATCGATGAGCTAAGTCTGATCAGCATCGCAGGACCTGGACTCTAGAAGCCTCTCGAAGGAGAGGTAGATGGCGAGGGGGAGAATCAGAGAACTCGAGAAGATGGGATGGGGAAAGGGACGGAGAGAGAGAGAAGAGACAAAGGACGATGAAAGGGACAACCGTGCGTCGGTGAAAGGGGCGGGGAAGGCTATGCGTCCGGGTTTATTTATTTATTATATATTTAGTTTTTGTTTAATTACATGTTATTTTATCATTTTATATAATAAAGAATTGGGGATTGATTAGTTACTGTGAGACGTCAGCAATTAGCGTATGATCAAATGGTGAATATAACGTGTTTACACCATAATCAACCGAGCATATCCAGTCTCAAAACAACTAGCACCAAGGCAGACACGCCTTCTCTCCTGCCAAAGAAAGACACTCTTCCGAGGTGCCAAGCACCTGCCGAAACTCCCGACTGCCAAAGCTCACAAACCGTTAAACCTAATTCTCATGACACGTGTCACCACCGCGGTGACTTGCAAGAGTCCCACATCGAAATTCTATGCAAACCTCCCACCTTCACCTCCCTATAAATAGGGAGTAGTATCATGTGAAAAGGAGACTTCCTCTCTCCACTTAGAAGAGGATCCGGGTCTTAGAGCTAGACCCTAGGGCCGGGGACTCTCTTCTAGATCCCTGACCTGGGCATCTCACTTGTTATCTTTATATTCGGGTCCAACCCTATGTACAAATGTAATCATACACTATTATAATGAGAACATACTTTTCCGTGGACGTAGCCCATTCATTAAGGGTGAACCACGTATATCTTGTCTTCTTTACATTTATCGCTTGCCCAAGTCTTTATACACATGCTTAAGGTCCTCACCTTCATTCATCATCCATCACACCTCATCACTAAGTTGGACTCAATCTTGGCCTAACCAATTTGAGCATCAACAGTTTGGCGCCGTCTGTGGGAATACGCCCCCGCCAGGGCCCCCGCTCAGCTCATCGGCCCTCCTCCTCTCAGACTCGAGCCTAGCCTCCTCTACCGCCTCTAGCCGCCGGGTTGTCTCCTTTAGCTCCCGCTCCAGCCTCCCCCCCTTCAGCTGCAGCACATTCCTCTCCCGGATGGCAGCCTGAGCCTCGGCGGTAGCAGCCTTGGCTGTCTCAGAATGGCATCTAGCCAAGTCCACCTCTCTCTCCGCCCTGGCTAGGGTGAGGTACATATCCCCAAAAGCCTGCAATGAAGGTATGTTCATGAGCTAGATCATAATTGCACTATTAGAAAGTTAAAGGCACAGGACTACTTACATTGGCGGTAGAGAGCACCGTCTTCTGGACCCGATCGGAGAAGTCCGTGACCTTGGTCCGAGCGAGCTCCTCAGCATCAATCTTGACCCCAGTCAGGAAAGCGTTGACAAGAGGCACTTCCTGGCGATGCATGGCCAGGGTTACCTCTTTCGCCTCCCGTCGAACCCAGGGAACGACTATATCCCCGTTTCC